AATGAAGTATTTAAAGTAATTGCTTAACAATTAATTCATGACTTTCTGAATATCAAGATAAGGCCCCGCAAATAAATTCTTTAATAAAAGAGTAATGTAACAGTGGATGGATTAGATCTGGATGTTTTCCGAGAAATATACCCCCCAAATATATATATATATTTAAAATTTTCTCGTAAATGATTACGTTTTCTCTTTGGATACATCTTAATGGAATGAAAAAGATAGCAAAATGAATTGTAATTTTGAGTGGAACTAAATTCGAGTAGAAAATAACTCAAAGTATACGTTTAGAATAAATGCATTCATCTTAGATAGTACCACAGGCGAATATTATGCCTCAACCATTTGCAAAACTAACAAAACAATTGGAAAGCAAGCATAACAATAAATGAAAACAAAGTACTCAAAATTCCCTTTCAAATTTTGATCAGTTTAATATTTTAGATGAAAAAAGTTCGATTTTTCCCAATAGGAAACTTTTACTCTAAAGTGAAAACTAGGAAATCATTTTTTTTTTTTTTTTTTTTTTTTTTTTTTTTTTTTTTGTGTGTTGTGTGTGTGTGGTGTGTGTGAAAAATTTCCCAAACGCAAAAATGAAATCATGAAAGTTTCCTTCATGATTTCCATATTTTTGAATTACTCCCTCGCTAAATAACTATTTGATGAAACACCATTACTTTAAGCCTCTCCAAGCTCTTTCGCTTGATTTTATTGCAAGCAGTCTATTACATTTTATTGCAATCTACGGGTTGAAGCCTTCGCTTTTTAAGTCACAGGAGAACGAAAACTATTACAGTAAAAAAAATCGCTCTTGTAAGCAAAAGGAAAACGGTTATTACAGAAACAGCACGAAGAAATGTTGCAAATCTCAGTTACATTGCGAAATTTTGATGCCCATTGTGTACTTACAGTGTTCCAAAGGTAGTTCGACTGTAGTAAAAACTATTCTGTTTCTATCGCAACAATAACGAAAGATGTATATGGAACTTCAAAATGTGCTTCAGATAGGTGAAAGTGAAGTACTTCTCAGATTTTTCGAATTTTCAATTTCTATTTTTATCAGTTTTATTTGAATATTTAAACTGATTCGAATTCAATTATTTATTCTCATACATTTGTAAAATAAAATAGGATTTAATTTCTTTCAATCATTAAAATAATATAAACAGCTGCTTTAAAGTTTCAGAACTCTGTAATTAATTGAGAATGTCTATTCTACTGCTGCTATTACAACATGTCTAAACAGACACCCCATTATTTTATAGCATCAGATTATCCCATTATTTTATCCATTATTAATTATCCATTATTAGACGAGGCATTAATTGCTCGCTTTTCGCTTTGTTTTGAAACTTTTAAAATCCTGTTTAGAGATTTGAGTATGCTACAAAACGTCGTTCGCACTTGGTGGAAACGATTTCGATAACTAATTGTTACGCATAAAGTGCATATTTCTTCCTGAGATTTGCCTCTGTCTGATATCCTTGATTCTTAGCTATAACTCTAGCTAAAATCTTCCTTGAAAGGAAACTTTTCCTTAAAACTGTAAGGTATTTTGTCCCTTCTTTCCGCATGCCTTCGTGGTGTAACTGGAAGCATAATTGACGGGTATTCGGGAGGTCTAGAGTTCAAGTCCCGGAGAGGGCACTGCGCATTTTTCCCGTCTCCTCCTTCAAAACAAACTAATGACTCTACAGAACCATCAGGTAAATTATATCCTACTTCTCTTGGATCGATTTCCAATTCGAAGTCCATTCAATGTTCTCGGTTGCCGTTTTTCTAAGGTTCGTTTTAACAAACCGAAAAGGCAAAAGTACATAGGAGCTTCAAGGAATTTTACAGATATTCCATGACATGAAATGTAATTCATTTCTGTTTCTAGTTCTTTCTTTCCTAAATAAGCGGCAGTGACTTAGACGTGTGGTTAGAGACTTTGACCATTTAAGGCTCACTTTCTAGATGTCGAGATTTCTTTTTTTTTTTTCGGGGGGGATGGCGCAAAAGATATTTTTCAGATTTGATGTGAAAAAGCAAGATCATTTAAAGTTCCTCTTTCATATTCTCTCTTGATTAATCTAGTCGATCTTTCTAAATCTTGGAAAACGGAATCCGTTGCACATGGTAGTCTTAATTCAAATCAAGCTGCTTTGAGACTTAATCCCTTACTGGCAACATGCCTGCTTCATTTGGCAATTTCTACTCTCTATTTCAACATTACTTGGTGATTTTATTTTTGATTTGGTCATTTTACTTCAGTTAAAATAATTTATTCTGTAATATTTTGGCAGCATTATAAGGTATTTTCTCTCTCCTTTCTGCATGCCTGCGTGATATAACGGTTACACACTCGGCGGGCATTCGAGAGGTTCAGGTCGTAGTTTCGGCGAGGGCATTGCTGATTTTTCGTGTTTCCTACTGCAAAAAGTCCTAATTTACATGTCAAATTATAACTAGATTTTTTATAGTTCTAATTTTCATAGAGATTAAAGAATGGTACTTTTAGTAAGATAAAAGTGTAGAGAATTTGAAAATGCAAAAATCCAAAATCACCATTTTTTGAAGATTTTATGATTCCAACACCCCTTTAAGTTTTAATAATATGGTAAATTTTTTAGTCATTTTAGTTCATTAATTTTTCATGACCATTTTAATAAAAAGTTTACTGCATAAAAGTCTTTTTTTTAAATGGTATGTTATGCTTCATATGTTATCACAGCTTGGGTAATGAATAAAACATGTCTCTTTACCTTATTAATTACTCATGTTTTTAACTAATTTAATAAATGGAAACTTTATCATACATAACACAAAATGTTTTTTAGTAACTCAAAACTGATAAATATATAAGTTTTTTAAGTTCAGGAATTAAGTTTGGCAAATTGTTTAAATTTAAATACTTCAAATCTACATAAACACAAAAATATAATTTAGAATTGTGTTGCACTGTATAATGTAACATGTAGGAAATTCAGTTACACTGAGGAAGGAAGTGTAAAAAAATGTATAACTCATGATTTTTAATCAAAGTACTCATCAAAAGATAGGGAAGTGTTTATTGTTTCTGAAGACTCCAATTTCTTTAAAACCTATACGAGAATTTGTTGATTTAAAAAGTGACCAGCCTTCTTAAGAAACAAAAATTACCTGTGTTAAAAAATCTGGGTTATATAAAGTGGGCGTTCTTAATGTGATTGCGGTTAATGTTACCATTCAGATATTGTTATTGAAATGGCAACATCTAACCCATATGTGTGCATGGAAAAAGTACCGCTAATTGGAATCAGAATTCGGTTAATGTTATAGAGTCATTAGAACGTTTTGAAGTAGAAAACACCATAAATGAGCAATGCCCTCACCGGGACTCGAACTTGCACCTCTCAAATATACGTCTTGTATGCTACCGTTACATCATGAAGGCATTCAGAAAGGAGGGAGAAAATACCTCATATACTCCTTCTTTTAAAGAGCGACTAGTGATTAGGAGACCCAGTCGCCAAATCCTGGTGATGAAGAATCATCCTCCACCACCTTTTTAGTTGGCGCCACAGGAAAGTCATTAGTTAAAAAGAAGTTTTTTTACATGTCAAATTATATTAGATTAATAATATGTTATTTGATGGGATTAATAACTTAAAGGGGTGTTGGAATCATAAAATCTTCAAAAAATGGTGATTTTGGATTTTTGCATTTTCAAATTCTCTGCACTTTTATCTTTCTAAAAATACCATTCTTTAATCTCTATGAAAATTAGAACTATAAAAAATCTAGTTATAATTTGACATGTAAATTATAACTAGATTTTTTTGCAGTTCTAATTTTCAGTTATAATAATAATTATAGTTATTATTAAGTTATACTAGTTATAATTTGACAATGTAAAAATCCTCATTGACTGCTTTGATTAATGAGGATTTTTAAATGGAAAGCGTTTTTCTCCAAACGCGATTTTTTTATACTCGATGTACCTTTTCTCAGAAACTACTGCTGAAAAAGGTATTTAAAATTTTTATGGCTTATTTATTAGGTTTCCTATTATTTACCGAAATGAGCTTTTTGTGATAAATTAAGAAAAAAATTTTTTTTAATTTTTGTGTGAGAAAAGTGCTAAATTTTACTATGCCTAACAAAATATTTTGTAAATTGCTCTAAAATTCAAAATGTTTCAAAATCTCATTTCAGTATAATCAGATATGTATACTTTAATTACACAAAAAATTTCAAGCGTGCATCTGCAGAAGATTTTTAGAAAAGGTACATCGAAAATGGCCAATTTAACATTGTCTATATAGAGGTTGCTGATACCCCTTAAATAATTCTATTTACAGGATTCATCCACAATTTCATATCGCGATTCTTGCGGAGCCTAATTAATGAAATCTATTAATTTAATTGCACTGTCAAATGTAAAAGCGATTATCTTTTTAAATTATCACTAATTTAATTGTATTGCCAAGTGTAAAGGCATTATTTTTTAACCTATCATGAGCTCCCCACGCTTTTATATTCGCAACATAAAATTGTAGATGAATTTCATAAATGAATTATTTAATTTATAAACCTATTAAAGGTTCATGTTATTTTTTTCTTTTTAACGCATTAAATATCATGTCCATTTTTAACAGAAGCTCATGGTATAAAAAAACTTCTTTTTAATTGTTTTTTTATTTTCTGTTCTTTAGCCTCAGTTATATGTTATCCGTAAGAAAAAACTTATAAAAAACAAATATCGCCAATTCGTTATTAAATGCGCCAATTTGGTAAACTCAGAAGCAATACGAGAAACGTTTCCCCCCCCGTCTGGTTCAGACTGCAACACATTTTTAAAATATGCAGAAAAAGGCCCAAGCAATACTTTTTATAATTCTTGTTCTGGATGTGAGTAAAAAGCTCATTTTATAATCTAACAAAATTTCAGATCTTTATAAGTGAACTAAATAAGAGTTTATTATTGTCCTGTGTAAAAGTTTACCAATAGTAAGATAATAATTGTTCAGTACCTGGGAAGTAGATTGCTGCAAAGCTTTCTTCGAACACTAATAATATTGATCACAGGCAGAATTAATCCTCCATTGAAAGACCTGTAAGTAAAACATTCCTCGTCAGTACAGTAGTTTGCCTAATTAACTAATCATCTAAAACATTAGCCACTAGTACATGTCATTAGAAAATATTTCGGGTTGTATTTAAAACACAAAATAAAATACCGAAATTTACTTCGCGTCTTATGGTCTTACAAATGTTTTGATTAAGACTATAATTTATTCACATACCCGTACAACAATGTTATTGGAGCATCTTTTATGGCGTCTGAGGCATCGCACTTTGCGTAACTCCCAAGTGATTAACTACGATGTTTCGCGTTCTGATTTTGAGATCTGAATTTGCATAACATTTCCCAGGAAACACGTAATCCATCGAGTTATTAACACGCTGCGAAAATAAGCTCATTAGGACATCAACGAGGATTAGCTGGAGGGGTGGAGCAATATCAGAACAGCAAATATTTACCGTATCCGGAAAGATGCTTAATGACGTTCCACCACGTGAGTTCTAACTTTAGAACAAAGTGATAGCAGTTGCGTGAGCAGATCTTCTCGAAATCTGGTCAATGTTTATTTTCCATTTATAGAAATAATCCCAAATTACTCCTCAGGATTGTCTTTCTTTTATACTGCGGAAATACATATACTTTAGCTCACTTAAAGACAGGGTAATTTGAAAGCTAAATGAACCTGAATTATGCCAGTTCTTGAATTTCTGATCGGACCAATCGCATATCGCTAAAAGGTCTAATTTTTTGAAGACACCAGTGTAGTGTTTCCCTAACTTCAAAACGAAGCTGATAAATTATTTTAAAAAGGACAACCACCGTGGCCCAATTTGTTGATTTTTTACAGACGAAAAGGTAAAAGCTTCTTATCGGATGCAAGTTGGTGGTTTTTGTGACCAACATTTTGTCTCAACTTTAAAAATAATTCTGGTATTATTTAAAGCAATGAAAACTTTGAATTCTTAAGTTTTGTCCAAAATGATAACTTATTGGTTACCTTTAAAGTAAAAAATCTGATGTATACACCCCGTGACTTCCTTGTACGGAATATTAAATTATACGCATTTTTTCTTGCATTTCATTTAAAGTTATTATATTGAATTAAACCTACTTCGCTGACAGCGCATAAACCACAATAGAATAAATGCATTCTTTAAAATTCACTTTGTTTACCATAGCGACATTCTAGCGCTAGGTTTACTTAACAGTATTATATTCGTTCATATATAACTCAGAATGCACAAATTTATATCATTTAAAGAATTATCTAATCGTTGCCACATGTTCTATTCAAATACTATAATAAAGCTAGAACTATGTATAAAGAAATTAGCAAACAAAACAAAAAGAAAACAGTTTTTCACAGACGATTGAGTATTTCTCATTTAATTAATTCAGTTCTTACTTCGCGAGAAGGCAAAAATACATAAAAACTCAAAATATCTATATTAAAAATTACGAAGTAAATCTCAAACGCTTATTTCCTCGAAAAAATTCCAGAAAGGATTAAGCATGATTTAAATAATAAATGAAGGCGTTATCTTTGTTGTTGCGAAGCTAAGTTTCTCTAGATTAGCAACAAATCCGCTGTTCAGCTGTTTCAAATGTAAACAAGAGCAATGGCCGTCATCAAATTAGGCTTAGCGGCACTTAAACAACTTTAAAATTGTTGATAATTCTAAAAATATTGCATACAGATTTACTAAAGGCATAAAAACCTTAACCAGAAGATAAAAACAACATAGTTCAATCATTTTTTAAAGCAAAAAATGTACAATTTACAAACATATGAGAGTAAAGAAACTGAGATCACTGAGCCGGGTAACAGAGTGGATATATATATAAATATACAAAAGGCGGGACAAAGGCTATCTCTCTTAAGAAGGCCTTCGTAGAAGACTTTTAAACAGATGCTTTATGTGGTTCGCAATTAAGTTAAACATGAGAAAAACTATAAAGCCCTATGCAAACAATCCGCTTATCGGGAACCGAACAATGACGAACTACGTTTGATTCTCAATTTAATCCATTACTTTCGGTTAAAGAAAACGCAAGAGAGAATAATAACCCACATTATAGCTAACAGATAAACGATTTTAACAGTATATTTCTATTTGAATCGGAAGAAAAAGCTATTTGATTGCGTAAATTAAACTAGCACTTAAAATACGTAAGAAACACTTCAAATACAGGAATAGTTGTCATTTTCTTAGAAATATTATTTTGAATTTAGCGTTTTTGGTAGCAGTTTTTCCATGTTTCGGCAGCGAACAAACTCAAGCAATTTTAGACGTAATCCGCTGAACTCATAAGCCGGTTCATAAACCTCCGTTTAATTCGAAATTAACCAATTTTCAGAGTTTTATTCATTCAACTCTTTTTTTTTTTTTTTTTTTTTTTTTTTTTTTTTTTTCTTTCTTTTTTCGCCATCGATAGGACAGGTAGAGGTAGAAGTGAGCGGGACAGAATGTCACCATTGGTCGTGCAAATGTAGTCCCACGCCACTAACTGTGCAATTTTTCAAACGTTTTGAGGAAAACACTCCGGGGTACGATCCGAATGTCTCTCATCCCTCTTTCCCTATCGCCAATCTCTCGAGAAGACTTTCGACTGGCCATCTATTTTGGGTGCCCGCTTACAACTCAGACAAATACGCCTACAAATATACATACCTTCTCAAAGATTCTAACCTGGACCAATCAATTTAATTAATTACTAATTACTCGTTACATCGCCTAATTACTTTTTCAATAGGGGTACAATATGGCATGCGACTCTAATCGTCTGTAATATTACATTGTATTGTACGTTACATTATGGATTATGTTAATTTACCTAACAGTTAAATTCTGAGTTTAACAATTTCCGGCCTGAATATATTTTTAGAATCGCGGTTGAATGCAAACGAGAAGAAGTATTTAACTGTGAAGGTCTACTGACTTCGTTAGAGAGAACCAGTGATTCTAACTAACGCGCGTCCGCCTTTTTAGGCTACTCTCTCTTAAGCTATTATTACGCTCGCCTGTACTTTAGGCCCTTGATAGCTTTGCCGTTATTTAGCATTAAGGGGCCAACTCTGTTAGAATCTTGATAGCTTCGGCTATATCTTTTTAGTTAAGTTTAGTTAATTTCTTAATTCCTGAAATCAAGCCTGAGTAGAGGCCTTTTGTTAAATTCCAAGAAGGAGTTATGTGAATTTAATTTGGAATAATAAAGGGTATTTAACCCTTCCCAAGTTTGATTTTCTGTCTCCCGAACTCAAGCGATTATTAGTTTACCAGTTCTTAAGATTCTTCAACTTCAACTGTAACTTAAAAATACACAGATTAGAACCTTACAGTATTATACAAAAGTTCGTAATGTTTTTCAACAAGTTATGCTGTACTATTGCGAGTATTTTTGCGTATCTTCTATTAGCTATGGACTTCTTTTTTTCTGAAACATTATGGCACACTTTTCGACTTGTTGCACGTTATCTTTATAGCGAGAACTAACTATTATCAGTTGTTGAGTATGCCTGTGTTGCATTTTGTAATGAAAGGTAACCCCATAGCCAGAAGTCGCATGGGGTAAGATCAGGCGACCGAGGTGGCCATGCAGTTGGAAAGCAGCGACTAATGACTTTTTCTGTTGTGAATTTCTGTCGTAGCATCTGTTGCACCCGTACAGCAACGTGTGAAGGGGCTCCATCTTGCGTGAAAATGATTTCTCCCAGGCATTGTCTTTGCTGAAGTGCCGGAATGACAAAGCTGTTCAACATGTGGCGATATTTCTCTCCGGTAACAGAATAGGTTTCCGGTCCTGTAGGGGTAATGTTCTCATAGAAGAATGGACCTACGATAAATTCCGCTGTGAACCCACACCAAACTGTTACCTTTGATGAATGTAAGGGAATTACTGTGACTGCATGTGGTGATTTGTCATCCCAAATTCCGCAGTTCTAGGTATTCACAGTTCCAATCAGGTAAAAGTGGGCCTCGTCTCTCCATAAGATTTTCCACCGCCAAGCATCATCCACCTCCATTCTGGCAAGAAAGGTGAAAGCAAAAGTCAATCGCTTATCATGGTCACGGTACAGTAAATCCTGTACTCGGCTGATCTTGTTCGAATAGAATTTGATAATCTTTCGTAAGATTTTCCATACGTTCTGTAAGGCATATCCATATTCCGAGCCTAGGAGCCACGAGCGCTAGGGGTGGCAGCAATATTGTCTGGTCCTCTCTCGACAATCACCGTGGCAACTGGTTCGTTTGTATCCTGTGGTACAGGTTTTTGTCCTCCCTGACTGAACCTTCAGAGAACCTGTTTTCTCAAACGTCGCAACCATTGCTTTTAGCCCATTAACTGACACAAGACTGTTACCTTTACTCTTTTTTTTTTTTTTTTTTTTTTTTTTTTTTTTTTTTTTTTTTTTTCGTTCTAAAAGCATGAAGAGCGGCTGACGCGTTGCACTGGTTGAGGTAAAAGAATTTGACCAGTAACGCACGCTCGACTAAAGAAAAAGACATTGCACATACAACTTCAATCCGATTCGAAACGTAACACATTGCCTTTTAAAAACCCAAGAAGCTGGCCTGTGCGAATGTGCGAATGGATTTGTATAAAGAAACTTTTTCTTTTCTGCTCAGCATACGTGATATTGCAGATCACGAGACTTTATCGGTGTTTATGTACATTTTACGCTTTTTTTAAAGTGTTGCCATATTACACTTGAACTAAATCAGAAAATGTGTATAATAAAAAGTAATTTTATTCCGTATAAATTTGCATTTGTTAACACTCTATTTTCTATTACACAGCGCTAAATATTCCCCTAGCGATGACTTTTGGAACTAATTTGTTATTTCGCTGAATACTTCGTCCCCCGTCTTGTTTAATCTTCCTACAAAATGTGGCGTCATTCTTGCAAATAGATCGCGCTACAGAACACTGTGAGACTGTCAGTTTAATTATGGCCACCCGGTACAAGTACAAATGTAAAGATGAAGTCAGTACAAATAATTAAGCATTAAATAGCAAGAAAAATTG